GTCAACACTCTCCCTATAAAAAGGAAGGCTAGCAGACCTGTGTGGCAGGATTATCCAATAAGGAAAGGAAAGGAATTGATCTTCCCATCTTCCCATCAAAACACGAAACGCTCAGACACCAAGCCAATAGTAATCCTATTTTGTAGATCAGATTTTTCTTTCAGTCCACCTTGCCAAAATTCAACCATTTCTTCATATTCCAGGTAGAAAGAATTTGGGATTTTAAATATTTCAGCACAGGAGACTCCGAGCAAGACAGATTTGCCCATCCAAGCTGAGGGCTTTTTGAGAGCTTAAGCTGTCAAAGGCTGGGTTTGAATTCTTGTTTATTCATCCATTTTCGCACATTAGGATTACTACTCATTTTTTCTCGAAGACATTTCTTGTCTTCTTTGTCTGCTCCTTAGCTCAAATGGCCGTACCTATATAATCTGGACGGAGTCAAGAGCGGAGTATTTTGTTTCCTTTTAAGTTGTGAATAATTTCCTGAGTTTAGCAAATTTCATTTTCAGGATGGAAAGCGCTTCATTTTTTTTTATTTTAAAAAATTCAAATGTAAAACTAAAGCATAATCAACAGATTTTTCTTCCTCTCTGTAGTTCGGTCACATAAGTAGCAGTGGGATCTGAACATCCAGATTATATACCACTCATGGACATTACCCACCACGACCACCCTTGATTTATAGCAGTTTTACACCGAGTTAATTGTCACAGTTGCTTATCCACCCGCTCAAGGATTCATGGGCAGCTTCTGGTTTGTGAGGCACTGGGAATTTTCTGTCATCAGATCTCTCTCTATCTCCCCCTTTGCAAAAAAACAGAGTTTCCAGAGTTCCACTTGGTATGCCAGCTTAAAAATCTACAATTTAGATCTCAGTTGAGAGACACCTTAAGCCCTGAAGTAGAAGGAGAATGTCAGAAAAGACATACAGGCTGCTTGCAAGGCTAAAATGGTATTCAACATGCCTTGAACTGAAGCTGCAATGATGAGGTACGAAACGAATTAGCAGAAAGAAGGAAAGCATTTAATTTTGGCAGGCATTATTGGGGTTCCGGGGGCAGGCCTCTGCTTCCCGTTTTCACCTTCTCTGATCATGCCGATTTGAGTCTAGGTTTCCACATGCTGCCATTCAAAGGCGCTTGCAAAAAAAAAAATCACTGCAGCAAACGAGAGCGCCACGCCTGGCCAGCTGATGACTCCACAACTCCCCATTTTCTGTTGCCAAGAATGCATTCATTTTCAAGAAATATATGTAAATCCTTCCATTGGAAAAGTTCCATGGGAAGCTTATTAATGCCTGCAGTGTTAGTTGTTGTAGCAACGGGGATGGTGCTTTGTGGAGGGGGGGGCAGAGAAAGTCAAAAGTTTAATGCAGCAGAAAGGGCAAGAGATGTGGGCAGTTTTGTCCTGCTTCTCCTGGCAAGGTTCCACCTCCGATTGCAAAGATCTTGGCCCTTGCTTGCAATTTACTTTGCACTGACTTCTTAAGTAAGGAGTATTTTACTGGGGGACGTGGTGGCGCTGCGGGCTAAACTGCAGAAGCCTGTGCTACAGGATCAGAAGACCAAGCAGTCATAAGATTGAATCCACACGACGGAGTGAGCACCCGTCGCTTGTCCCAGCTCCCGCCAGCCTAGCGGTTCAAAAGCATGCAAATGCAAGTAGATAAATAGGAACCACCTCAGTGGGAAGGTAACAGCGTTCTGTGTCTAGTTGCGCTGGCCATGTGACCACGGAAGATTGTCTTCGGACAAAACGCTGGCTCTATGGCTTGGAAACGGGGATGAGCACCGCCCCTAGAGTCGAACACGACTGGACAAAAATTGTCAAGGGGAACCTTTACCTTTTACCTATTTTACTGGGAAGGGTATTTTCAGAAACATGTCCAGGAAACATGTTGGTGCATCCAAGGGCCCCAAACATTCAGTAGGGCAGAGCTGGTCAATTTCTGTGGCCTGGGGAGTTCATTCCTCCCCCCTATTCCCCACCATTGAAAGGCTGCCTTCTGTTGCCGAAATTCAGCTGCACTGGGGCTCTATGGTATCAGCAGGTGCCAGAGCATCCTCCTGCCCCATCATGTCCTGCAGGACGGCAGGGTAGCATGTCTTTCCCCCACCTGTCTGAATAGGAAGTGTTGGAAAAAGTTGATGATGGACAAGTATTTCCATAATGATTTTAAGGTGGCACCCATTGGGTCATCCGCTGATTCCGTAGTACCCAGGATGCCTGGAGATCTCAAAAAAGTGTTGCCTGCATTACTTCTACAGAATCCCAGGTTATGTAGGAATATAGGCTCAGCTTCAGCTAGCAGCAGACTAAATGGAGAAAAGATTGTGCTGGGTGAGAGCAAACGCCTCTGTAATCCAACCTTCTGTTCTCAGAGTGGTCATCCAGTTGCTGAGGGGAAGCCCGTTGGTGGGACATGAACGCAATGACACATTCTGCCTCACATCCACCCATAACTGGATATACGAACTGCCTCCATTACTGGAGATTATGCACAGCCACCCAAACCAGCAGATGCTGATGGCTGATCCCTCCATGAAGTTGCACAATTTCTTCTTCAAACTGTCCAGGTTGGCAGTCACCGCTACCTCTTGGGGGTGGTGAATTCCATTTTGGGATTCCATGCTGTGTGAGGAAATGTGTCTGCTTATCTGTCTTGAATCTCCCATCCTTCAGCTTCAGTGTTCCGGTGTGTTATCAATTGTCTACACCATACATCACCTCATACATATCTTTCATGTCCCGCCTCCTTTGCTATCCTTGGGGAGCTGCTGGAGCTCCTCCAGCAGAGCACAACAGCTGCTCCCCTTCAAACTGCATTTTCTATGATGAGTTACTGGTGTTTACATTTTCCAAGGTGTCTGCAGCCTAGCAGCATTGCATGACATGCAAGGACAGGAAAACATTCCATCGGAAAGTGATTCCTTCTCTCTAGTCCAATGCCAGGGAAGTCTGTCTGATTTAAAAGGATCCCCACCAGTGAGGGCTTTGCAGAGGCCCTGTCACATCTGGAGCCTATTTGGTGCCATGGCTGGCATGCAGGTAATACAATAATGGCTGAGACAAAGAGGCAAATGTCCTCTGGTGTTGACTTGAACACAAAAGCATGGAAAAGTGTCAGTGTTGGTTGGGGGATTCTGGCAATTACAATCCACAAAAATCAGCTGTTGCCAGCTTTGATCATACCACAGCGGTCAGTATTGCTTGGCCCAAGTGGAAATAGATCTTTAAGGATAAAGGCAGAGACAGGTTGTTGTGGGTTTTTCGGGCTGTTTGGCCATGTTCTGTTGGTTTTTCTTCCTAACATTTCGCCTGTCTCTGTGGCCGGCATCTTCAGAGGACAGGAGCTAGAATTCTCTCTGTGTTCTGGTGTAATGTGTGGGATTGTTGAGTATTTCATGCTCTTTGATTCTGTTCTGACACCTGATTCTGTAAAGACAGTGTAGACTAAAACAACCAGAAAAATCAGCAGTACCTGAACATGACCTGAAACAAGCTGGACATGAAATTCTATTTCAAGATACAGAAGTACTGGACAACACCAGCAACCATTATGTTAGACTACATAGCCTGCAAAAGGTCAATGAACTCTACCCACCCACAAGAATTGGTGATCACTGTGCACCCATCAATCACAGTGACAGATTATCTCCCCCCCATCACAACAAAACACCCACAACAACAACAAAAAAACCACCCTGATCACAGGAAACACCCAATCTCCTGAAAAGAACAAAAACCCTGATCCCACAGTTATAAATACTCTACAATCCCACACACTATACCAGAACACAGAGAGAATTCTAGCTCCTGTCCTCTTAAGATGCTGGCCACAGAGACTGGCAAAACATTAGGGAAAAAAACTCCAGAGCACGGCCAAACAGCTTGATAAACCCACAACAATAATCGGATCCCAGCCATGAAAGCCTTCAGGAACACACTGAGACATGTCTTTTCCAATTTTGCTATTGAGATCTTGCCTTTTAGGAAAAAAGATTAAAGGAGTCAAGTAGACAGAGAATAATATTTATGATTAGCTATTTTAAAAAGAAGAGAAGGTAAATCATGGAAAAAATGAAGACATACAACCACATATGAGAACAAAGGACAAGAAAGCATGAAGGTCAGGAAGAACCCTCCAAAAACAGGGAAGCTTTAAGCAAGCTATCAGGACATTGACCTTCGGGAGGTGCTCCTTCTATCCAAAGCATATTGTCTGCCTTTAAACCACGGCTCCTTCCACCAAATGCCACGTCCAAGGAATCACCTGTGGGACACAGATTTGTACCCCATCTTGGAAGGACTTTGCTCTTTACCTAGCTCATGGTAAGGAATCCAATAGCACCTGGGGGCCCTGAGCTTGTTTGTCACAACTCACCATGGGCTCTGTGGCCACCTCCACTGCTCAGATTGGGTAGCTTGTGTTGAGATTTGGCATCCTTCCCCCCTACTAAATTTCCCTCTCCCCCCTCCCCATTGCAGCACTGTTCTATAATGCCACAGAAGGACTCTTCCTGCATCGCAGACCTCTTGCAGATGGCACTGTAGAGCATTTTCTTTCATCCTGAAAAGGAAGAGAGGTGGAAATGGGGACTTTGTGTTGTTTCTCAACGCTTCAGGTGCTCATTGGGATCAGTGGCGCTATCACCACCATCCATTCTGGAACTGGTGGGACTGCGTTTACAAGAGGCAGGCAGTTCTGGGTCAACCCATTCAGAAATCCGGACCCCCTTGTCATTTAGAATTTGCTGCTACCCTCAGAAAATACAATTTTATCCGTGTTTAGGAGCCAACTGGCAAAGTTGCCGTGGCCCCGTAGAACAAACTAGAAATATTTTTAATTTTTTTTAAAAAAAGGTCCTCTGTTTTTCACATAGCCACTTTCAAAATATATTTTTTCTTTTACAAAATGGCAAACCGAATAACATTCATTATTAAAAACACAGTCGTATTAAGCACGTGTAGAGTATCTGTCTTCACATGCAAAAAAAAGTCTGTTGATGCCAAAGCTTCACAAAGAAAAATGAGGCATGAGTTTAACTCTATTGGGGTTTGGTCAGGATTGCACAAAATTTCTTGGGATTGAAGGGGAAGAGAATTGAAAAGAAAGCATCTTTTGCTACATATTTTTGTAAAATATTGAATGGCCAATGTTCACTTTAGAATCATGCTGAAATGAAAAGAGCTTCTTTAGATCTACATTCCAACAAAAAAAATTAATATGTTTTCAAATTCTTTGGGTTGGAGAGGGAATGAAATCCAGACTGCAGATCAATGGCTTAACTGGGCAAGCTCAAGCATATCAGAACATGTTCCATTTAATAATAATTGTATGCCATCAAGCCAATTCTGACTGATGACAACCCTTTCCAGGTGTTTTACCATTCCCCTCCTCTAGGGGGCATCCTAAGACTGTGCAGCTTGCCTAAGGTCACACAGGTTGCTTTTCTGAGAACCGAATTCCCAACATCTGGCTTTGCACCCAGATCAATTCCTTGGGAACAGTTCTCTCCATGTCAACCCATCACCCCTATTCTCATCCAGCCACTTCCCGCAGGGGAAATTCGTTGTCACACCGGTAGCCGAGTTAGTGATCTCAACCCGCTCAACCAACCATCCGGGAGAAAACCCCCTACTGTCGTGCTCAATCCGAACCTTCTTCAGCTCTCCGAGTTCAAGGATCTCCAGGTAAAACCGGTTCGTCTTGCCCCGTTCAAAGAGGTTTCGGAACTTCTGCTTGAGAGCTCGTTTGCCCGAATCCCCGTTGCCTCCGAAGATGGTAATGAAAACATTGGCGTCCGTTCCGGCTCCCTTCTCTGATCCTGTCACCACAATGGTCTCATATTTGACTGGCACCAAACTCCGAGCTTTGCTGGCGAAGCTCTCGATCACCTTGGCACACTCGAAGACTTTGTGATCGCCTCTCTTCCCGCGTAGCGGCAATTTTGCGTTGCACCTGAAGAAATACCTGTCAGAAAAACAGGACACCGATTTGAACTGGGGAGGATGAGTGAGTCAACATTTCAACCAAACATTCAGCTTTATATTTTTCTTGGGAGAGACTCAGGAGACTTACTTTCTCTAGCAAGTATTTTGTTAGCTTTACTAAATCCCATCTGATTGAAGTTTTGTTGCCTTTCCTTTGTTTTAAGTTCCCTGGCAGGCCAACACCCATGCTCAGCACAGTGGACAGAAAAAGCAGTCTAATTAGGTATGTAGTCTGCCCCGTCTTTCTTCCAGTTAATCTCTGCCACGCACCTCGCTCAACAGAACTTTAGTCTCAGAACTGCCTTAAAAAGGAAATAAAAAAGAAGCATCCCCAGGATCGTCACAAAAAAAAAACCCCAAGTGTCTCATTTTATGACATGTTGCCAGAGGATTTTTTAGGATAAGGTTCAGCATGGATGGTTTGACATAAGACAATTTGTCAGTCCAATCACTGTGACCTTCATTTTACACGGTATAATCCCCTTTATCCACAATGCCAGAGCAGAATGAATCGGCTGGTGGGTGGATTCGACGGGAGCTCAACGGGACTGAGAAGGACAAGCCGGACCACTGGGATGGATAAAGAAACCGAAGCTCAGTTATTCTAATGGGATATTTATGAGCTTTGAAAACAATGGGAATCTTCTGTGCTTTGGTAAATTAAAAAAGGGTATCAGAATTCGGCAAACTCCAATGGAGTCATTTTATACAATAGGAAATTCCCAGCCAAAAGGAACAGATCCTAAACCGGGATCTAATGGTTGTTGTGGGTTTTTCGGGCTTCTTGGCCGTGTTCTGAAGGTGGTTCTTCCTAACGTTTCGTCAGTCTCTGTGGCCGGCATCTTCAGAGGACAGCACTCTGTGCTCCGGCCACAGAGACTGGTGAAACGTTAGTTAGGAAGAACCACTTTCAGAACACGGCCAAGAAGCCCGAAAAACCCACAACAACCAGATCCTAAACCCTCACTCGCCACTTGTTACGAGGGGCATGCTGGTGAGATTGCAAGAATATGGTCATGGTTTCCATGGGAAATTAGGGACTTCATACCCAAAGCCATACTGAAGTTGATGGACACACACAAAAAGGCACCAGAAAAGTATGCAAGCCTTCAAGATTACACATCTTGAGGTGTGATATGCCAAAGTAAATGGGGGATTGATCATAAAAGCTTGCAGTGGCATCTTGTGATGTCACGGAGGAGGAAAGCTGTGCAGAGATCGCCCAATGGGGTGTGTCGGGTCCGGCAGCCATGTGAGGTTTCATCCAGGGAAGCCCACAGAACCCTCCAGGAGGGTACAAACATTTGGTTTGCCGTTTTAGACAATCCCACAGAGGTTGCCCCAGATGCTGGCCGGCTCCGCTGGTAGTGGCCTCATTGCTGGAGGCTGTCTGTCTAAGCCATTCACACCTGTGCCCGCTTACTTGTTGCAAAGTTCCATCTCTGTGACGACAATCTCCTGAACATGCCAGTAGACATCTGCTTTTATGCTTGATTTCTTCCCGTCTTTTGGACAGTGACCAACACAGATGGCCGCGATGTCGCCCACGTTCTTTGAAGAAAACTCAAATACATCTGTCGCTCCTCTGTAGAACCAACCCAACCGTTCTCGTTAGTATTGTGCAGACCGCCAATCACCGACGGCGAGAGAACACAAGTTAATTTGTACAAACTTGTAAAATGCAGGCATTTAAAATAAAATAAAATTAAAAAAATACCCTTGATTGAACTGGCAAATTATCTGGCACAAAAGGATATATTTAATAACCTTTCAGTGAGTTAATCAGTGGAATGTTAAAAAAATAATAATAAAGGATCTGTCTCCCTCTGTAAACTGATTTGTTTTATTCCAGATGCAGCTGAGGAGCATCCATTTTCAAAAAGCATGCCCGGGCTTTACTTAATAGAAATGGAAAAGAAAACTCATGGTGGCTTTAGAAACACCCAAGTCTCTCAATTCTCCCGTCCCTCAACATGCAGGCAATTATAGTGACCTATCTTACAGGCTTGGGAGACCAAATGTGAGATGGATCGACCCAGTAAATGAAGCCATGGCCTTTCCTTCACAAGGTTGGAGCAATTTTTTTTAATGTCAGTACCTTTCAAGGCTGCTAATTCAGCAGACTGCATTTAAATCAGAAACTGTTCCACAGCACATAGCAATAACCTCATGTGATCACCAGGTGGATTACTGTGACGCTGTGTCTTGAGTGCTTACAAAACGTCGTTACTTAATTCACTAACGGAGCCCACACAAGTTTGCATATGCCCAACATGAAAGTTTTAAGGAATTCTGTTTTTGCTGCCTCTGCTGTAACTTTGAAATAACGGTTCAAATGCTGCCAGCATCTTTCCTGACTTACATCTAAGAAAGACAGGCCTGGCAAATCCCATCTTGCCAAAAACCTTTGGACTTTACATCTTGCCATGGTTTGCCTGGTAAAATCTATCTTGCCATGAACTTTTGAAGTTTAAGTTCTTTGCGCACACCTGATGAAGTAGACGATCCTGATCCATGAAAGCTTGCAGATTGTATGATGGAATGCTTGGGGGGGGGGAGTTTGGTGGCCTATGAAGGTGTTGCCTACACTTGCATTTGTATTTTGTAATGACCACACAGCTCCCCCTTTTTTCTTTTTCTTTCTTTCTTTTTTCTTTCTTTCTTTCTTTCTTTTCTTTTTTTCTTTTTCTTTCTTTTTTTGGTATATGGGCATGTATTTTAGAGGGTTAAACCGAGATTTCATGATAAAGTGGCTAGAAGGAAATAAGTGTATTGGAGCACATATCCTTGATCCTCTCAGTCTGCAAAGAGATAATCCCAAACTTTTCTTAGTCTCCTCAACTGCAATCAAGGTCCAACAGATCTAGGAGAA